TGGCGCTAATATCATTGAGTGAAATGCATACAACAAAAGCAATTAAACGAGTAGCTCAAACGTGTAAAGTTAAAGAACAGATATCAATTGTTTTCAAACTTGAAATTCGCTCAAAACTATAATCCGCGGTTATTCGCGTTAAAGGGATTATAGTGACAGAGAAGGTAAGGAACAATGAAAACGGATGACGGGAGCAACCAGGTATGGAAATGAAGGAAGCGTCGACGGTTCATCCAAAACATTAGGTGAAAAGCAATTCTATGAATGATTTCGCGAAATATAGTCTAATTAATGAGGTGCGAGTAGAATAGGAATTAAAAAATTATTAATCAATTGTGTGAAGATGGTATTGTACTTTAATCGAGTAAAAATTAAAAATTAAAAAGTGATAATAATCTCAAAAATTCGTATGCCAAAGTCGAGCTCAGAAATTGAATGCCAAATAAAATAGTTAACATTTACTTTGGTTAATGGAGGTAACAATTACCTATTCGAAATTGAAAAGAAAACGGTCTGAAAAAAGAGCTCCTGATATTAAGTTGATATTAATTTTGTAAGTCACTAGCTTTTGTTGAGAACAGAACTCTTCAGACACTGCAGAAATAGTTCTGAGAAAAGCTGAAGCATTGAAAGCTGAACTTCCGGTCATTAAAGTGGCAGCTTTCTGACACGGCAAGGTGCTTCTGAACTTCGACCAAATCTCAATTGTGATGGGAACCAATCTAAATAAGTTAAATATACTCTTCGTGCGGACGTTCCTTGTTTTTAGATACACTTTGCTTCCACTGCACCAGAAGATGGGCAAGGGAATCCACACGTTGCAAGGCCAGCCTGACTGCTATTTTTCATAAAAAGAAGTATCTGTTCCAATTTCATCACCCTTCTATTTGTGTGATAAAAGGTATTATTGCTAAAAGTTTAATATTGGAGATGTACGGTAAACTATTGGGCTATCCAATCCTGGGAGTAAATAATGGACGCTAAACTTAGAGCAGCGTCTTTGAGAGATACTCATTAGGTGTTGTAAGGTTGAAATTCTGCACCAAAATTTTCGGAAAAGTTGCTCGGGCTAAGTCATTTACACTCGTTTTTGAAGCATCTCAAGATCAATCGAGAAAGTCTGAGGCAGTAGTATATATGTACAGACGGCAACGTTGATCCGGATTAACGGCACCGCTGATCTGATCAAAATTGTGCCTTGACAGACGGCAGTATTTCGGATTAACCACGGCCACCAAAATATTCATTTCATTTTTTTATTTATTCAATTATAACTTCTATAATTTTTTTAATTTTTATTTATTTAGTAACTTTTGACTTTTTAATTGAATTCAATTGATTAACTAATAACAAAATTGATAATGTGAAATAAATCAAAACAAAATAAAGTAAAATAAAAAAGGAGGAAAATAGAATATGCATATAAATCCAAATAATAAAAGTAAAGATTTTTTTACAATCGCTCGCTAAAAATATTTCTTTCAGTGCATAATTTGGTTATAGTTACATTATTTGTTTAAAGTTACCAAATCATAAGTTGAGAAAAATATTTTAGCTGATTTTTTTTCTGGATGCAATTCAATTGGCTGCGAAATTCTGATTGATCGTACAAGTCAGCAAGTACAAAGAAACAGCGGCAAGTGCAACAGTACTTACTAGGAATGTTAATCCCGGGATCCCGGCCTTTTTAAGTCCCCAAAAAATTCTTGGCAGGATTTTCGGGAATTGTAATTTGCGCTGGTGGCAATAATAGAAACTCCTTTTGTTGACCAGTGATGGCTATATTTCTTGTTTTCATTTAATAATTAATATCTTTTTTACAAATGTCTACCTCAGTAATCCTTAAAACACCGTGCGGTAGTCAATTTTACCAAATATAGTAAAATTGAGTTTTTAGTTTTTCACTCTGACGTCAGTAATTTAAAAATCATTTAAAAAATTCAGTGAAATATGCTTAGAGAAGAAGTATGGGTATCAAATTAAAGAGAAAATTCTATAGAATTTAATAAGATTAAATTTTTGGGTGCATAAGGACTGGCAAGTATTGAAAATGTCCTTTTAAAATTTTATCCTTGAAATATCCCAATATTTGTGTGGGTACCGGTTCGCGCAATGAAACACCTTGTTAACATTTAATAATAAAGTTTATGCACATTTATTAAATATGTGTTACTTATGTCTAGGGATACAAAGTTGGCGGTTTTACGCAAACGACTTTACGCACTGACTTCAACACAGAGACTGACTGCTTTCAAATTGTCCGTTGTTTAGGGTTGTCACTATGCATTAGTCAGGGTCGCATTTATTAGTATTAGTAGGAGTGTCCTGTCCGGGTTGCTTTGTGGTTGTCGGGACCCATTCCCACATTTGTTTTTGAAACATTTCGTTCTTCTAACTTTATCAGCTTAAAAAATTCATTAATTTGTGAGCCCATAGATTTTTTTTTTTATTCTAAAGAAATTTCCACTTCCATTTGGTACCCATATTTTTATTCTACATTGCATTGAATTTTGTAAAAAAATTTTGGAATTAATCGTATCTCTCAAATTATGAAGTCCTTTAAAATAAATCCTGACGTCAGAGAGAAAAAACAAAAATGCCACTTTAACCAAAAAAGTAGGTTTTAAACCCATTTGNTACAAATGTCTACCTCAGTAATCCTTAAAACACCGTGCGGTAGTCAATTTTACCAAATATAGTAAAATTGAGTTTTTAGTTTTTCACTCTGACGTCAGTAATTTAAAAATCATTTAAAAAATTCAGTGAAATATGCTTAGAGAAGAAGTATGGGTATCAAATTAAAGAGAAAATTCTATAGAATTTAATAAGATTAAATTTTTGGGTGCATAAGGACTGGCAAGTATTGAAAATGTCCTTTTAAAATTTTATCCTTGAAATATCCCAATATTTGTGTGGGTACCGGTTCGCGCAATGAAACACCTTGTTAACATTTAATAATAAAGTTTATGCACATTTATTAAATATGTGTTACTTATGTCTAGGGATACAAAGTTGGCGGTTTTACGCAAACGACTTTACGCACTGACTTCAACACAGAGACTCACTGCTTTCAAATTGTCCGTTGTTTAGGGTTGTCACTATGCATTAGTCAGGGTCGCATTTATTAGTATTAGTAGGAGTGTCCTGTCCGGGTTGCTTTGTGGTTGTCGGGACCCATTCCCACATTTGTTTTTGAAACATTTCGTTCTTCTAACTTTATCAGCTTAAAAAATTCATTAATTTGTGAGCCCATAGATTTTTTTTTTTATTCTAAAGAAATTTCCACTTCCATTTGGTACCCATATTTTTATTCTACATTGCATTGAATTTTGTAAAAAAATTTTGGAATTAATCGTATCTCTCAAATTATGAAGTCCTTTAAAATAAATCCTGACGTCAGAGAGAAAAAACAAAAATGCCACTTTAACCAAAAAAGTAGGTTTTAAACCCATTTGTTTATTATTTATTTTATGGTAGGAGAGATAGAAGCAATTTTTTCGATTTAAAAGTTGTTGAAAGGTAATGATTATCTAAGTCCCGGGGCTAATCCCGGGATCCTGGGATTTCGATAACGACATCCCGAAATCCCGGGATCGTAAAAAGCGAAAAAATTAACATCCCTAGTACTTACGTACGTTCTATTCAACCGAGGGATTGATAACATCAGAACGAGAAGCATTATGTCCATATCTTCGTATACTTTGTGCCCTTCCTGCTACAAAAGCTAGGTCCGAGCAATCTTTCCACACTCTTCGAGCAGTCAAAACTTGGCGAGCTTACTCAATTTGCGCGAAATCGTCTTAATTTTGTCACACAATAAGCGGAACATAAAGACGTACGCCGTATAAGGAGATTTCTCCTTAGCGCATAGGCCAACAAATAAATAAAAACTTCTCACATAACACCATTTAAGTATTCTAGACAAAATCCGATTTGCATACCACACCCCCAGCATAGTGATCGATATCGGTAAATCTGAACTTCATGCGCAGTAAGTAGATTAATGCTCGCTAGGATGTTTACATTGGGAAGGTGGTTATCCCATTTTGTCATTTTTAGCGTCAAAAATCTTTTTACCGAATACAGCACTCGTCCTGAGTTTCGTTGAAGTATCTCAACTATTAGTTGAATGACCAGAATTACAAACAGTACGCACGTCTTATCTGTCTTATTTGAAATAAAAAATCAGTGTTGCCCACACTGAAGTTTTTACTGTAAGGGAAAAGGTATATTTTCATATACCATATACATTCATATGTATAAAAGAATCAAAATTAAAATGTGTGAAGCAAGATTCTTTGGAAAGACAATACCTGTAACAATTGTATCATGGTATCCACCTAAATATTTTTTTTTATATAAACATTAAAGCTCTGAACTCACCACACGACAGGACATTAAGGTTTTATCTACATAATCTAAACGCTTTGTCGACGGCGACATGAATTTTTTTAACGTGGCAGCGACACCATGAATTTGTTTCAGTTTTATCTGTCGCTAGAAAATTAGAAACACTTATGTAGATCTAATCTGGCCACAGCTACATTTTCGGCTAGTCGCGGAGTTGCCGTGTCGTCGACAAAATAATTATCTTTATAAGAGTACGTATTAAAATAATTTTACAGCTGTGGTCCGTAGCCCAATGTGTTGCAAGCTTCAGAACAAATTTACTCTTTAATTCTCAATCGAGCATACCCATCTAAGACTTCTGTTCCTGAACAAAGTTCTTGACAATTGGTGAGAGCCGAATTACGCTGGCACAACTCTAGCACCTAATAAACTTCCTATGCAGTTTTTTAAGTGATCTATTGCGAATTTTATTCACATGAAATTTAAACACATGCTAATTCTTGTGAACTTTATAATTTAATATTCTCATGTAAAACAAATCAATATCAAGGGATATTTAAAACTATATACAGACACACACACTTAAAAACTAATTAAAATTTACTACTAAATTTACTACTAAATTCACATAGGTGGATTTGTTCAATTTTCTACATCGGCAACTGTTTGGCCAACATAAATTCGCATTGTTGTTGATGGAATAGCATCTTTTGTTGCAGTTGGATGTATTGTTGTTGGAACTGTTGCTGCTGCATTTTCATCAATTCCTGTTGTATGATCTGCTGTTGTTGCTGATGATGAAGAAACCACATTTGTTGTTCTTGCATAGCTTGCACCATCAACGCCTGTTGCGCTCTTCCAAGTTCCTCGGGAGTGGGAAAGTAAATTGCATTAGGTGATTGTGGATGGTTCATGGGAACGCCGTGGGTAATTACTTGGTTCAAAGGATGTCCATATCCGTTCGCAGAAAACTGACCGCCGTTGGGATCAATTACGAGGCGACCAGTCGATGTGTTCACATTAACGTCTTCAATAGCCGGATTTATAGCCCAATAATTTCCACGACCGGGGTCATCTAAAGGCCGCGGAACCTTGATGAAGCATGAGTTTGTACTTAGAGTGTGACGAACTTGACTCTGCCATCCGTGTTGGTCCTTTCGGAAGTAAGGGAAGTTGTCCGAGATCCAGTCTTGAATTGCACTCAATGGCAGACGTTTTTCTGGACTACTGCGGATGGCCATGGCCACCATCGCACTGAAAGTAAAACCGGGTCTCTCCTCGCTGTCCTCTGATCCACTGCAATCTGGGGAGGCTGATCCATCAGAGCGTGGCGGTGTCAGCGGAGCATTGTTCTCAGCTTTGATATTTTGTTGAATATTTGAGGTGTTATCTCCAATAATATTGCGAATAGAGAAGTTAGATTCGAAAATTGGAGCCATTCTAAACGTGTTGGGGAATATGAATTGCTTTACAGTGAAGTTTCCAAGTTTGATGAACTGACTGATAATGCACTCCCAACAACGTCTCATATTTATACTCCCCGGGCTATTCAGGAAGCACTCAAAGCAGATCAGTTACGAATCACACTCAAATCGAAAATCTATAGCAAACATTAAAGTTCACTCAATGTGAGATTTAAAAAGTCCACTCAGATCTATTCGTATCAAAACTCACTCAAGTGATGATAAAATTTCACTCAAAGTAGAAAGGTCCCTGCAAAACCCAAAACTATTACCGATTTAGTGACTTTTAGATCAGGTAGCAGGTGGCGCCATACATCAGCGACAGTCAAAAGTCACTCAAACTTTTCTGTTGTTTTCAAACTTCCAAATATTGTTCCTTGTCATCAGTATTAGGCGGATTATAGCTACTGAGCCGACAAAGAACAATGCAAGGGGTTGCCTAAGATAAGCAGGTAGGGAAAGAGGTGGCCGAGGTGTAGGAAGGTTACATCGAAATTTAGGGGCAAAACGCTGCTATTTTTCAATTTTTATAGATATACTCTGCCGTGTAAGAAACGCAACAACGATTGCTCGCGCTATAAATTTGTTGTGCAACCTAGTAAATTGAAAATTTAGATAGATGAATTGATTATAAAGTTTTAATAACCGCAAATTGTCTATGGAAGCAAATGACACAGATCGAACATCCCGTAGGGCAGGTATAATGTGGCGCTATATTCCACGAAACACTTAAAACACAATCAAAGAGTCACTCAAACGTTTGAAGTTGGAAATCCCTACGTTTCCATTGTTTTCAAACGTCCATTGTTCTCAAGGTTAAATATAATCCGCGGTTACACGCGTTGAGGGATTATTGCGGATGAGCCGGCATAGAGCAATGAAAAGTAGCGACTGTGGTTAACAGGTACAAAAAGAAACAGTTCGTCAAGGCTGTACGAAACTTGACTTTATATAAGACAATTATTATGTATATCTATGTTTTTCACATTAGTTGCAAAAAATTCTTTAAAAGTCACTCAAATTTGAAAATGAGCAGAAAAGTTTATAGAATGGCTGCTAAAGCTGGGTGCTACTTGCCATTGAGGGAAATATATGTACAACCTGCAGAACAGCGTGTCATACGGACTAAAGATATGTTAATTGTCACTCAAACACTCAAATGCGAAATGTCGCTTGGATTTCAATTGTTTTCAAACTTCAATAGCACTTAAGCCATAACTCCAGGGGATTATAGCGGCTGAGACGACAAAAAGGAAGAAAACGGGTAGCCGGGTTGTGGGAATTTTTGATGTCTTTAACTAAAGTTATCAAAACATAGCGTTAATTGAGGGATTACAGCTTCTGAGCGGCCGAAGAACAATCAAAAATAATGAACAGACAACCACCACACGTCGAAGCATGCTTGCCGAAGCGCCCGTTTGTCTGGTAGATCACAGGTAGAAAAATGGCGCGGCGAAAGATACTGAGCGAATTATAGAATAGCAGCGTTCTATTTATGCCGTAGTACTTACGGACATACAATCAAATGGGGTCTGTGGAAATTCACTCGGATAATTGTGCTGCCAAAATATTTATCTCTCAAAGCAGACTTACATACATATATGTATATGTTATATCCTGCTCTCACCTAGAGGATTACAGCTGCTTATGTCACAATCGATATAACTTGAAATATGGGGAATTCCTGCCCACCACGTCTTTTGCACTACCGCGAAATCGCCTGCAAGTGTTTTGGTGTCACAGTAAATTTCCTTTGAATAGGTAAGTCTAAAACGAATTCACTTTAAGCTTTGCGCTAATTTGGGAATACCCTTCAATAGTTTATCCTTTCATTTGTATATGTAAATCTTTACCAGTAAATTTCAGTTTAGCCCAAAAAGCGCGAAAGAGATCTATGCATCATAATTACCTTACGCTTTCTGTTCAAATCATTGAAATGCTGGCGCATATCCGTAAAAACCACAAATTTTGCCAGCCACGTCTATTTAATGCCTGCGAAGATATGAGGTTCATTATTTTTGAGAACTGAGCCCATTATATCACCAAGGGAGGCGAAGCCATGCTTAGCGCACAAAGCTTATTGATGATTGATGTAATAGAACTCAAGAATCGAATGTCGAATTATGTGGATTTTGTTCGCTACTGTCTGCATTTTTGGCTCTTCTGACCTCTTTTCCTGGGTGTGAGAAGATCTTGCTTTGATCTCCTATTTAAACGAAAAAATGAAATTGTGTCGATTGGGTAGGGTGAGGAATTGAGTCTCCTCAATTAATACCGTGCCCAAATTATTAAGTAGGTTGCGTGCCATCAATGGCACGCATGCCCTAGGTTCGCCAGCCCTGCACTAGTACATCCGCTGCAAGTGCTTTCGATGTGGTGAAAACTTATAACAAAAGCAATCAGTTAATACATCAATGCTATTATCGATATTGAAATATAAAAACAAGAATATCAGACGATGCCGATCACATAAATCACAATAACCGTAGAATTGAAAGGAGAAATTAATTACGATTGCAGGAGCAGAACTTGCGCAGCAAATCAATGCCTTGCAAACACTGCAACGAATATTGATCGCTATAAATGAAAGCATTAGCGCTCTGGCCTAGGCGTCAAGAAATAATTGTTTTTGTGCAACTTGTTTGATTTTTTTAATTTTTGTACAAGGTGAGAAATTTGCTGCTTTAAGCACTAGATTTAGTGCCTTTTGACAATTAAAATGCCAAAAAAAAAACTATTTAATGCCTAGTGCCTTTTTAGTGCTTTGTAAGTGCTTTTTTCTGAACTAAAACTTCTCCGAGATAGTTAAAACCTGAAAGAATATGAAATATATAAAGCTATGGCAGCACTGAATTTACAATCTACAAATTTAAATGCCCTAAAATACATCCATGAATGATAAAAAGCTGAAGTTGGAAACTCACCTTGTTGAAATCTAGTCGTGTTGAAAATGCTAGTACGCAGGTAAGTTAAGTATTTCTTTTTTCTTTTCTAATTATTTATACAAGTTTTGGTTTTTGTTTTACCACCTGAGTAAAACACATCGTTTCTTGGTGCTGAATTCAAATCTGGCCAGACAAGTGCTCTAGCACTATAATTTTTAGATATCCTTACCTCAAAGTGCCAAAAACGCGATATTTGAGGTTATATTATGAAAACATCAACTTTTTTGCTCATTTATACTTAGGACATCATTACTTTTCCCCTTTAAAATTAATTTTCGCTTGTTGTGATTCGATTTTTCTTTCTCGAGATATACCAGTTTTAAAGTGCAGTACTTCGGTGTTACGTCTTAAGCATGAGTCATCATAGCATGTATGGAAGCTATTCAATCGTTATGAGCGAACAAGTTTTGTGTACTGATTTATGTATGTATACTTGTAAATATTGTTAATTTTTTACTTTTGTTAAATATAAACTGTTATGAAAAAAAGTCTCCTTTGATTAAAAACGCTTTTTTTCCAAGGTTTTGGTGCTTTTTGAAAATCAAAAGTTAGCAACACTGTTTGTTAGACATATCAAAATACTGTGCTGTTTCAAAAAATACTGTACTGAACAGTTGAGAGATATTGTTTTTGTTTTTGTAACTTTTTCTAGATTAGAGCACAGGGCTTGGAAGAAGAGGCGGCTTGCTATACATATATAGCTTTGTTGGAGCAAATAATAGTCGAGAGGGAGTGCTTTTAGTTTGCGAAGTAAACCATTGCGCAATGCTTGCTGAAATGCTTTGCCTGCATCCAGGTAGTTAGCGGCGCAAAGTCATTCGTTGGCAAACTCGCAAGCTTGCAACTCAACTCAACACAACTCTATGTACCGGTGTCCGGAGTCCAAATTAACTTCTTATTTTGCATTATAGGTAGAATGATAATTGGTACGAGTATTCCACCTTTGCCTGATTTGGGGGCTTACAATAATATGTCTCTCCAAACTATTTGTTTTCGTAATTTTTGAATGTAATTAGAACTAGGGGTTCATTATTTTTAAATATTGCTTGAACCTGTTTCGAAAGATCGTCAGATTTTCCGTGGTGGTTTGAACTACAATACCAAAGTAAAACCAAAATTTTCTGTTTTTGATTAAAATTATGCTGATTTTCATTTTTAATTAAATAGTTCTGTTGTTAGTACGAATTTGTTACGCAAAATAGTTTGTAGGTATTATTTTTTTATCTTAATAAACCACTAAGGTAATTTCGCGGCCCACAACCCAACGCACGCGAGGCGGCGACTCCCTTCTCTCATCCCTACGCCACGCAAATCAACGAAAGTCCTAAAGTCTTTACTTTTGCAATATCATTGGTCGTCTCAATTCAAATCAATTCTGCAAGACTGTTGACTTGATGAACATTTTTTTGAGTCATAATAAAACAGCAACCTGGTACCTTATCGTAAATATTTATTTGGATAGTTACTTTTGCATTATAATTACATACAAATACGTACATACATACATACATACATAACTTATATTTAAACAAATATTTAAGCTAACTTAGTTTCTAGCGTGTGATAATAGTCATGTCTCCAAGCATGAGAAAAATAAATACAGAATTGCGTAAATATAAAGTGCCTACATACATATACTTGATTTAAAAAAAAAAAATTCACTACATTCGGTGTTTTACAAATTTTTAAACTGTATTTCATACTATTGATATTGCCAATGTGTGAAAATATTCCACGCTTGGTAGGAGTATTCTTGTTGCACGGGCTTTGGAGGGCATTTCTCAAACTGCTTGACGGCGGCAGCACAGGCGTCCGGATATGCTGCACCCGAGGGGCACTCGGTGCGTTCATATGGATGATATAGCTGTATTTTATTCTTCAACATCCGCTTCCTTATTTGATTTCTAGTTTGCACATCCTCAGCGATGGTATCGATTGTCCAATAATTTCCACGACCTGGATCGTTTGCAGGCCTGGGAACGCGCACGAATATTTTATTATGACTTAGATTGTAGCGCACTGTATCCTTCC